TTTGGGTAATTACCTCCAAACATTATCAGTTCTACCAGATCATATAACTGAAATCGGTCGGTAGTCGGTATCAGAATTCCCAAAACCCATTTATTCATCTTCAGATTTTATTTTTTAAACAAATTGGTAGACCCTCAGGCCCTCTTTAAAAAAAAATCGTTGTCACCCGGAGATAAGTCTTTTTCTATTTCCAATAGAAAAAATAAATAATAAATTGAAAGACCTTGTAATATAATTTGTCGGGATTCGACTTAGTGAGGTAAACACCGATTTTAAATTAAATGCTATATTTATTTTTTTATTGTTGGTTTTCAATATTTTTCTTAGATACTAAGCTAGGTTCTCAATGAACATTTAATTTCAATGGTTTTCCATACATTTTCTTAAAAAAATGTTTTTGTTTTTCGATTTTCAATTTATTTGAGGTTAGATTTAGGATTCAGAATGGTAAATGCACAAAATCATGGTTAATAGGACTTCTTCAATGGTTAATGGTTTTGTATTGTTCTCTTGGCAGTGTTGGTGGTATTGTAGTTAACTTCTCTCGATTTCGCTCTCTCTCATTTAGTTCTCCTTAGTACCGGTGATTCTCCCAAAGAAAATGCACGACCTCGCACCTGAAAACGTTCAGCCATCCAACGCTGACAACTTTCACAGGAACAGTTGGGATTTTTTGTTGGTCCTACATGATGACCCGGTTTACGGGCGGCCACCACCTTACCAAATTTACTGGCCTTGTCCAAATATTCGGAAGAATACCCGGGTGGAGGCAGACCTGTAGAGGCCTCACTCATGGCTGGACTTTGACGATAGGTTTGAAATAGATCTAAACGTCTTGCCGGTGTGGGAGTGGCAACGGGGAAAGTAGAGGCACTGGTTGTGGTAGGTGGAGCCTCACTGCCGCTACGTTGAAACGAGAGACCTGTGGCTTGGGGTTGTGGTGATGCATGACGACTCAGTTCGGTGGGTGTTAGAGCTGGTGTTGCGGTGGCACTTAGATTTTCACGTGTTTCACTTTTCCATCGCTGCAAACTCGGTTGATAATTCGGATAGAGTAGTGATCCTTCGATGGGTGCGGACATTGGTTGTTCGGGTGGTGGTAGGTGCAGTTCATTTTGTGGCCCAAAGAAATGTAAGAAACCGGGACGATTTTTGGTAAAATGTTGAGTTTGTTGAAATGCAGGCGATGTGGTACGTTGCTGTTGATGCATCGATGTAGGATAACTATAGAATTGATCGGTTTCCGATGTGAAATCCGATTCAGAGGGTAAGGTGTCATCACGTTGCAACCTTCTGTTATTGTTGTTATTATTTTCGGCAATTGTTTGTAAATGTGGATGCTGCTGATGAGGATGCATCTGGTGATGGGGCTGATGCAAAGCCATTGGATTATTTTGCGCCGATTCATCCTCCTTTGAATGACTTCTCGACCATAGGCGTTCCATTTGCCTTATCCTCAAACGATCCAAGGCATTTTCATATTCAAAACTTTCCGATTTCGTAAGAGAATAATCTTCATTATCTTCCCCGCCAGCGGCCACATCTTTCCAATGGGCATCTGTGACATCATGTCCCGCTAAAACACTGGACATGCTGCTGCAAGTATTGTCGAGTACCGTCGATCTGGTGGAACTGGGATAACCCAAGCTGGCCACATCTTCGGAAGACTGCCGTAAATATTTTTGCCTTAAATTGGCCAATTTAATGGCTCGCTGGTCACCAATATGTTTACGGAAGAGAATATGCTTCGATTCGTTGACCTCATCTGTGGTACTGGACTTGGTTATGCCATGGCCCAATTGTAAATCTCCTGAGATTATGGGACTTTGAGGTTCACTGGGTTTGCAGGAGGAGGAGTTCAATTCGGAAGAAGATTTTTGCTGCTGCTGTTGTTGATTAGCTCCTCCCAATCGTCTGGGTAGGGCTGCACCACTCATCCTCTGATGTCGCAAGCGCATTTGTTCATTGTCCAGTACCGTTTGAAAGGTGGAATTTGATTCCTGATCATGTCTCCGATTATCTTCGGATTCGGAGCTAGATTCCGCATCAGCATGATCTTCATCTTCCGAACCGGTACAGTAGACATCAATGTGTACGGTTCGAGGTTTTTTCTGGACATCCGCACCGGATTGTACGGTCTTGTTGGAGGCCATAAAGGCCGGCAGGGATCCCAGGGGTCCAAAGTTAGCACCCATAGACACATCTTCACCTTCGATAGAGGGTATTCGTGGCATGGAGGCCGATTTAAAAGCCTGTGGAGATTTGGGCGAGGATAAATACGAAGGCTAAAGAAACGAAGAGAGGGTGTTATTAGTTATCATATTTTTTTTATATTTTTTAGGTACCTACCATAAATGTGTTTCCCTCGTTTGCACCACTTGCATATCTGGGTGTTTGCAATAATGCCTCGGCGGTGGCTCTGCGATGATCATAGGATCTTCTCGAGTCCCGACGTTCCAATGGACTGTGTGATTGCTTGAAACGTTTGTGTTCGTATTCCTCGAAATATTTGGTTTCTGTGTCACTTGTCTGGCATACGGCATCCTTGAGGTTGAGAATTTTCCCTGTCTTAGAGACGGGTGTTTGGGGGCAAGAATCCTCGTCAAAGGACTGATTGAAAGGAGAATTTTTTATTAGAATTTTTTGTACTACCAAAAAAGGTGAACGAAGTGGAGGAGGAGGAAATGGTGGAAACACTTTTTTTGCTTGGCCTAATGTGCCTGTCCCATGTGAATGACCTATAAATGGCATCATCGGCAGCTACAAAAACAACAACAACAACTACATCATGACGATTGGCAGTGAGTATTTTGTGCACACGACAATTTTCCTCTCAGCGGCATCATCGTGATTCGCAAATATTTAAAAATAGCCAGCAAAGGCCGAAATTCGGACAACAAATAAACAAGACATACGGGTGTGAACACGTCCCGCTATTGTTTTAGACTAAGTGAGAATGGACATATGAATGTCGGAGTGTTATGGTGAATGATTTATTGGAACGTTATCATCACCCGAACCAACCAAACCCATTCACCAAACCCCCCAAAAGTGATGATCAAAAGTGTGAACAAATGAACAGCCAAACACCAGGCAAAATAAAAAAACTTGTTGTCTTTGCAACAAAAAACATGTCCATCTCGAACCGATAGGTCAGACCAGAACCACAAATTAGTTGAAACGGAATGATGGCGTTAATTTCCTTATTAACCAAAAGTGACAGAATTAATTGGCATTTCGTGTTGGAATATAGTTCAAGAAAAAATGTCACATAATTTATTTTAGAGAGAATATTAAATAGGCGGTGCGGAACAATAAGAAAGTGACTCACATTCATGGTGCGGTAGAACATCAAAAGAAATTTCTTAGATGGGGGAAAAAAATATTATTTAAGAACTCATGAATCAAATCCCGAAATGTGACAATTAAATGGCAATCAATTAGAGGACCAGAAAACAAATATATAAACATTCTCTTGACATTCGCCTAAGTGTTTCCTCCTCCCAACCCCTACAAATTAAAAAAAAAAAATAACAACCTACCTTTTCGGGTAAAACAGTATAACAAGCCGTTGTGTTGAAAACAAATGGATCTGGTTCTTCTTCTCGTACAAATTGCCTTCTTACATGTGATTGATCACCCACATCCATACCGGCGTCATCTTCTGCTGCAACTCCTCCCGCCTCACCATTACTTCCCGGTGGTGGTAAAAAATCTGCCACTGCCGATACAATAATATTGCAGGTACTACGACATCGAGTACCATAGTAGGGTTTCCCAGAGTCAGCCGATTTTCCATCTTTTTTCGTTTTGTTGTGATGTGAGGTATTTGAACCGCTGAATGCCGAATCTCCACCACCAAATCCCGTTGTCGATGATGTTGTCGAACGAAAACTTTCCTGTTTTTGAGGTATTTTTGAAGGTTTAGTTGATGGCTGAAAATTTTGCAATTGAGTCCTCAATAAAGCGGAACACATTCTGCTGCTATTGGTAGGAGGAAATTTTTTTCAGGAAAATAAATATGGGACAATTGCGAAGTGAATTTAAAAAATTTGACAGATAATATAAACATTCTTTCTATAACTGAGAAAATCCTAGAAATACCAGAAGGGATTTCCATTGGAAGGCCGCTTTGGCCCAAAGATATCTGGTGGAAATTTTTACAAAGACAATAATGGATTTTTCTATAGGAGATCTCAGGGTATTTCTAATGATTATTTTTAAAGGAAATATTACTATAAATCGGAAAGGACTTTTCAAATAAGATCTAAAGATCTAAATAAACTATATAGAGGAGACGTGAATACGTTTTCTATTTCAAATCTGATGGAAAAATCTATGTAAGGACTCTAGGGAGTATTTGTTAAATATCTGTAGGACTATCAAAGTAAGCTTTGCTACAGGCGACTACTTGGAGGTATTTTTAGAATGTCAGTAAGGCCTTCTATAGAATATATTAATGGAACCTTGTTAAGGAAGATCTGAAGAGATCATATATGCAAGGGATGGAAGATCGGGACGTTTTTCGAACATATGATATGAAAGGACATTCGGTGGATAGCCAGCTGAGTCTTTCAAGAACCGTTCAGATGATAGACTTTTCTACGGACAACCTCTAGGGGGTATTTCTAGAAGGTCTGTAGAGCCTTCTTATAAAATATATTAAAGGAACCTTGTTCTGAAGAGGTTTTATATGCAAGGGATGGAAGGTCGGGACGATTTTCGAACCTATGACATGAAAGGACATTCGGTGGATAGCCAAAAGAGTCTTTCAAGAACCGTTCACCCGATTCTTGCTTGAGATAAATTGGCAAGACTTTTTATTAAATATCTGTAGAAAATCTGTAAAGCCTCTTTCTGCAGATGGTCTTCAAATGTAGAATGTCTATAGGGATTTCCTATAGAATAGATTGACCTAAAAAAAAAGATTTCTATATATAGAATGGATGGAAGACCGGAACTAGGAACTAGGCCGTAAAAACTATTATACAAAAAAAAAAAAAAAAAAAAAAAGGGAATTTCTATGAAAGACCTGTATAGACTCTCTGTAGAGCCTTACAGTAGGTCTTCTATTCATATTCCTATGGAAAATCTGAAAAGTCTGTTTGGGAACTCTATAGAAAACCTATAGAACCTTAAATGACTTCATATGGAAGACCCGGGAAAAATATTACCATGGAAGATTTGCAAACGAATTTTCTAAAAGAGTATATCAAGGGGCGATCTGAAGCGGTTATATACATAAGACCTGAAGAGTATATATGACATATAAGCTTTATATAGAAGACGTGGACGAATTTTAAGAAACATGTCAAATATCTTTTCATAGGAATTCAAAACAGTATTGTCTTGAATGAACCTTCATAGAAGCCTACACCAAATGTCCAATAAATTCCATTTTCTTACTAAATGAAATTTTAGAGGCCCCCTTGCCACAAAAGCTGTTCAGGGTTTGAAAAGAAAAAAGTAGAAGGCCTGAAGTCTTAACACCGCAAGGTATTCCCTTTACAAATGTTTTGCATTGAAATACTCACAATTCTTCCTTTTAGAAAATCGAACAACTTATCTTGAACAGGCTTCTTATAGTAGATCAATATATATGTTTATATTTGTCTTGCTAAGAACCTAATATTTTTTATAATTAATCGCATTTTATAGGCCAATATTTTTTTCTCCAAAAAATGCCCCCTCAAAAGAAAACCCAACTTACCTTTGCCGGATCCTGATGTGAATAACCCGATGACCGTGATGAATTACGTTTAAAAATATTCGTATGCTTGACATCATCCTCTTCGGGTTGATGATGATGGTGTATCTCGGAACCATCCGCATCCAAAGTAGTCCATTTGTAGACAACTCGTACGGGATTAATAGGATCGTTGGTACTGAAATCTTTACGCACAGTTTCACCCGCTCGTGCAAAACGCAGTTGAGCTCTTACCGTCCATTCGGCAGTCAACTCGTGGGGCATAGGTGGTGGTTGTTGCACCCGTGTGCCTTGAGGTTGGGGATGATTTTGTCGAAAATCTTGATTTGTAATACCTGCACCAGCTTCCGTTTGTTTATCGGCATTATATTGGGATTTCGATGATGAAGGATTAGGTGGGGGTTTGTCATCCATATTAAGACGATTATTTTTTAGGATTCAATTTCGAAGGTAATTTTTTTGTATTTGTTTTGGGTGGAAGGGGTATCGGTTGAGGATTAGTGTTTGTTCTTTGCTTTGTAGTTGACCACCAACAGCGGCATTATTGCTTCACTTTCGCCAGTTATTTCTTTATCACCAACATTTATCAATTGCTTACATGTTTGTTTTCTTTTCTTTTGTTTCGTATTTATTTTCTTCACTACCCACACATTTTCTTTTGATTATCACACACTTTTAGTCAATCACCAGTTTTTTGGATGTTCGTATTTGTTTTTTTTTGTTTCTTAGAGCACTTGAATAATTAAAATTTTCATTTTTTTTTTCAAAAATTTTATTTTATTTTGTTTCACATTTTTAATGATGTTAAATTTAGAAAAATATGTATTTAAATTTCTTTCATTTTTTTTTAATTTTGTTTATTTAACTTGCCCCCAGAGATTGTTTGTTTGAGTTTGACGCGAAAGTTAACAAAAAATATGCAGGTGTTGTTGTCTGCTTTCAGGTATGAAAATGCTTTTGCATATTTTTTTAAACAAAATGTGTGTTAACTTTTTTTATTATTTTAATTGGGAAATGAGGTGAGATTATTCATTGGCAAAAATGACTAAGAATTTTTTGAGGGGAAAAATATATATCTACTATTTTATTAAATAAAAATTACTAAAAAGGTTGTTTCAATTTTTATTTTTTTTTTTTTTTGTTCAAATTGGACTGAAATTCCATGTTTCGTGACTACGGCGTATGATTAATATTAGTTGAAAAATAAGTGGTGAGTGAAAATCGTGGCCATAGAGCAGCCTCTTAACAATTTGGTTATGCAAAATGTATTCAAAACGAAGGACAATCAAATAACCCTAAAACCTATTATTTCTTTATATATGAAAAAAAAAAACAGAAGAGAATTTCTATGAAAGTTCTGTAAGGGCTAGAGGGAGCCTTTAGAGTCTTACTGTAGATATTCTATTCATACTCATATAGAAAATCTGAAGAGCCTGAAGAAAACCCCTTCGGATCTTAAGGGGTTTCATATAGGAGATCTAGAAAAAGTATGTCCATGGAAGATTTGGAATTTTTCGATTTTTTCGTTCAACTTAGCCTGGCATTCCATGTACGGTTTGGAGTATGATGAATTTTAATTGAAAATACTATTTTATTATATTACTAATACGCCACCAGTTGAGTGAATATCGTGGTCATTGGGCAGCCTTTTAACAATTTGTTTATGCCAAATATCTTGAAACGAAGGACAATCAACTGGACCTTTCAATAACCCTAAGATCGATTATTTCTTCATATATAACAATAAAACAGGAGTGGATTTCTAAGAAAGGCCTGTAAGGGCTCACTCTAGAGAGTCTGTAGAGTCTTACTGTAGGTCTTGTATTCATGTTACTACAGAAAATCTGAAGAGCCTAAAGAAAACCCTTCATGAAACGAAGGACATTCAACTGGGCCTTTCAATAATCCTAAAACCGATTATTTCTTTATATATCGAAAAAACAAAAGGGAATTTTTATAAAAAAGCCTGTAAGGGCTCTCTTTCCCTACAGAGTCTGTAGGGTCTTACTATAGGATCTTCTATTCATATTCCTACATAAAATGTAAAGAGCTTGAATAAAACCCATAGGACCTGAATGGATTTCATATGGGAGATCTAGAAAAAGTATGTCCATGGAAGATTTGGAATTTTTAGTTCTTTTCGTTCAAATTAAACGGACATCTCACATACGTTTAGTTTGACGTATGATTAATTTTAATTGAAAATAATATTTTATTACATTACTAATACGCCACCAGGTCTGTGGCAATCGAGGACATAGGACATTTGGTTATGCAAAATATATTGAAACTAAATAGATTTATATGCTCGTGGTTGGCTCGCTATTTCGCTGATATCGCATACATATGAATTAATTATTCGATAATGTATTCCATCAAAAATGCATTTTTATTTCAATATCAAAAATAAACCATTTATTGTCTCTAACAGATGTTAATTTCTAACTGCTAATCATTTTATGGTTCTGAATATCCGCTAATTTGAAAATTAGCTCCCAATGCAATTATAAGGAATGTGAGGCGTATAATTAATATTAATTGCAACGTATAAGTAATATGTTACTTATACGCTAACACGGGGTCAATTTCTAACTGTTAATAATTTTAAAGTATTTTTTATTATTTGCTAATTTGAAAATTAGCTCACATTTCAAATGTAGATAAAATAAGGCGTATGATTAATATTAATTATCTCGGATAATAAACATATTATTTTGATTTATTACTGTTTTTTATATTAGACCCCTTTCATTTGTGAGGAATATAAGGCGTATGATTATTATAAATTATAACGTATAATTAATATATTACTTATACGCTAATATGATAGATGAACCGAATAATTGTGATTTATTATTTTATAACTTTTATAACAACTTTATAAAATAATTAAAATATATATATTTAAATAAATCCCTTTCTTCATAAGAAATGTGTCTTTTTTTTTTCTTTCTATTGCTAAAAATCTAATTAAATGCCCAATTAAAAAATAGACCTCAAATTTATATTTTAAAATTTAGCAATGAAATGAAAATGACGGTACAACCAACAGACATATAGACGGACGTTATTGTGTCACAATAACAGCGACAACGATGAACGAAAAATATTTGTGCTATAAACGCTCAAGGTGTTTTCTAATTTCAAACAAAGCAACCATTAAAATTGAAAATTTTGAATTAAAATTAAATAAAAATGGAAATACACAAGCAGAAAATTGAAGACGTCGAATATATGAGATCGACGTCGTCACCAAGTCAATACTACATATATATGTATGTATCTGCAGCATGTGTGCTTGAAACAAAAAATATTGAAATAAAAAGTGAAAATTTATAACATTCGCACATAATAAATAAACAAGAAGAAAATTTTGAAGAAGTGGCAAAAGCAACAACAGTACAGGAAAAACTACAACAAAATTATGTCGTCAAAAATAAAAAAAAAACGAAAAGAAAATTAAGTATTTTCACATGACCACGGCAGCAGCAACAGGCAGCGGTCATAATGTGCAAAATATGTATATTTGTTGCGGATTGAATAAGGACTGTTATGAGCAAAAGAAAAAATTAAAAGAAAACCTTTGCTTCGACATGAAAATTAAAAAAACAATGTGTGGAAAATGTGTTCATAAGATACAATTTTAATTACTCAGGAACGAATCTACTTTTTTAGTGTGAAAAATAATAAATTGGGAAACACCTTGATTCAAAAGTCATAATATTTGAAATTAGATGTATACATTCGTTTTCAGCAAGTAAGAAAAATAGGAATTTTGAAATATATAAGGGCCCCCATATGGCGTATAACGAATACAGAACTCATACGTTTTAATTATTGTTAATTATAAAAATATTCAACATTTAATATTGGATTTTAAGATTTTATTTTTAAATCTAATCGTATATAACCGTTTATTTGCCATGATGTTTGTTAAAAAAATCATATATTTTTTTAATATCCTGTGTGGCGTATTATTAACATTAATTAGAAAGTATGAGTACTGTTACGAATATAACTTTAGATTTAAGTTAATTTAGATGAATTCCGTTAATTTAAGAATTTGAATTGTAACGTAAATTTCTACTACGCAGTTTATTTGAATAACTTCACAACAACAACCACTGTATAGATTTTTCTACATCCTTCCATTTCCTCTTTCATTTTCTATTTTGTTATTGTCGTACAATTCTTGTTAAACGTTATTCCTCTTTCTTTGTTATTCCCTCGCCTGTATATGTGTTGTTGTTATTCCTCTTTCTTTGTTATTCCCTCGCCTGTATATGTGTTGTTGTTATTCCTCTTTCTTTGTTATTCCCTCGCCTGTATATGTGTTGTTGTTATTGTAAGTTTGTTTACTCAAGTTTGTTGTTGTTATTGTTACTCAATGTGTTTGTTGCATTGGTAGATTGTTCGTGATCTAGGTGTTACCAGATCGTCTAGAAACTTCTGTAGCGACAGGCAGGGCTCATATAAATAGAGGGAATGGAAAGGCAGTGAGTCAGTTGTGAATCAGATCGCGAATTGAAACCGTCGTGTAAAGTAAAGTGCAAAGTAAAGTTGTGTGAATAAAATCGTTGTAATAATCGTAATCCGAAAGAACCTGCGTTTTTATTTGGTACGAATTGTATCGGGAAATAAAACAACGTCTACACGGGATTTAGTAAAACCCAAGAACGTAACAATTGGTGTCGGAAGTGAGATTACGATAATACTACGATGAAGTTTAAGGATCTACGAGTGGAAGACTTGAAGAAGGAGCTCAATAAATTGGAATTGTCCTCTACTGGCAACAAGGCTGAGCTACAAAAACGTCTGTTGGATGAGTTCGAGCGCCGTGGTATGAACATCGATACATATGAGTTTGACAGCAAGGATGAAGTGGATTTATCGGAAATGGGCGAATCCAACGGTGGGGAAGTCTCGTCAGTAGCTGCCAGGGTTGACGATTTGAGAGAAATGCTGGCTAGAATGTTCGAAGAGAATGCCAGAAAGTTTGAGGAAAATTCCAGAAGAAGCGAAGAGAATTCCAGAAAGTTAGAAGAAAACACGAGACGTATGTTCGAAGAGAATTCCAGAAAGTTAGATGAACTCAAGGCAGAGAATTGTAGAATGTTTGACGAAAATTCGAGAGTAATGAACGAGAAACTCGAAAACATTACAGAAGTTATTGGAAGGAGAGTGGAAACCGTGGAGATCCAAATTAAAGAGTTGGATAAGAAAGTGCAGTCGGTTGACGAGAAGATTCTGTCTGTGGATGAGAAATTTCTGGCCCACGACCACAGGTTTACGAATCTGGAGAAGAAAATGTCGGAACTGGAAATCAAAGGTGGTCCGGTGCGAGTTCCTGATAACACACTAAAAATAAAACCTCCTGTATTCGACGGCTCTACGTCATTCAATGTTTTCAAGTT